TGAACTCCAATGGGTGACTGCAGACAGCCAGCTGCCTAGTGCACCTCACTGGGTCTGCTTGTTGCCTCCCCGTGCCTGTGCCCAGGGTCTGCCAGCCACCGCTTTCCCCTGCTGTGACCCCTCTCGCCGGGTCGCAACTCAGCCCCTCTTACCAGTCTGGATGAATGGTTGTTGGGACTTCCGTACAGTTCAATTTTCTGTCTGTTCTGGTTGTTTTTTTGTTTCTAAAATTTTGTTGTCTTTAATTTTGGTTGTGCGAGGAGGCACAGTGTGTCCACTTACGACTCCATCTTGGCCGGAAGTCGACAACCAAGGCTTTAAAAAAGCCACGTTTATCCAGACAGGTATGAAGAACCAGGATGCAGAATGGTGCCGGGAGGCAGCGGAACAGGTGGTCCTAAATTCATGTGTGGTGGATAAAAATTGGGAAAGGTACCTCAGGAGCAAGCAATCCCAGCCCCAGACCAGACCACGCAGCCCAGGATTCCAGAACCAGGAAGATAAGTCCCCATAACTTCTGGCTGTAAAAACCAGTGGGGGTTGGGGCAGTGGAAGAAACTTCAGGATTCTCAAGAGACTCCTCTTAAAGGGCCTGAAATAGATTTAGGACTCACGCAGACCCACCCCCTCTAGGATTCAGCACCAGGGAAGCAGCTAGAAGGGCAAAAGTGGCATATGGGGAGAAGGGGAGAAAGTGAAGTGACTGGCAACAGGGCAAGTGCCAAGAGATAGCTTCCTCCCAGGCAATCTCCAGGGGTCAGGTCTTGGCATTGTCCCCTCTCCAAGTCCTCCCCCACACATAGCCACAAAGTGGGGAAACAGGTTGCCCTACTTGGGTGATTACCTAAGACTCCACCCCACACAATTTACAGGTGCCTTTTCTACAATAGGCCACGCTACTAAGACAAGGAGTCAAAACAGCTCTACCTAATACATAGAAACAAACCCAGAGAGGCTGCCAAATTGAGGAAACAAAACATGGCCCAAATGAAAGAACAGAACAAAACTTCAGGAAAAGAACTAAATGAAATGGAGATAAGCAACCTATCAAATGTAGAGTTGAAAACACTGGTTATCAGGATGGTTAAAGAACTCACTGTGTTCTGTAACAGCATAAAAAAGACCCAGGTAGAAATGAAGGTAGCATTAAGTGTAATAAAAAAAATCTACAGGGAAACAAAAGTGGAGTGGATGGCGCCGATAATCAAATCAATGATTTGGAACATAAGGAATAAATAAACATTCAATCAGAACAGCAAGGAAAAAAAAAGAACCCAAAACAACAACAACAATAGAATAAGAAGCCCCTGGGACATCTCCAAACATGCCAACATCTGAATCATAGGGACACCAGAAGGAGAAGAAGATGAGCAAGAAATTAAAGACTTACATGAAAAAATAATGAAAGAAAACTTCCCTAATTTGGTGAAGGAAATAGACATACAAGTCCTGGGAACATGGAGTCCCAATCCAATTGGACCCAAAGAGGCCCACACCAAGACACATCAAATTGAAATGCCAAAGATTAAAGATAAAGAGAGAATCTTAAAAGCAGCAAGAAAAAAGCAGAGAGAGTTACCTACAATGGAGTTCCCCTAAGACTGTCAGCTGATTTCTCAAAAGATAATTTGCAGGCTGGAAGGGAGTAGCAAGAAGTATTCAAAGTGATGAAAAGCAAGGACCTAAACCTAGATTACTCTATCCAGCAAAGCTATCATTTATAACTGAAGGGCAGCCCTGGCTGGTGTGGCTCAGCGGACTGAGTGCCGGCCTATGAACCAAAGGATTGCCAGTTTGACTCCCAGTCAGGGCACATGCCTGGGTTGCAGGCAAGGTCCCCAGTAGGGGGCACGTGAGAAGTAACCACACATTAATGTTTCTGTCCCTCTCTTTCTCCTTCCCTTGGCCTCTCTCTAAAAATAAAATAAATTTTTAAATCTTTAAAAAAATAGATTTGAAGGGCAGATAAAGTGCTTCGCAAACAAGGTAAAACTAAAGGAGTTCATCATCACCAAGTCATTATTATATGAAATGTTAAAGGGAATTATATAAGAAAAGGGCCAGGTCCCCAGTAGGGGGGCACATGAAAGGCAACCACACACTGACATTTCTCTCCCTCTCATTCTCCCTCCCTTCCCCTCTCTAAAAAATATATAAATAAAATCTTAAAAAAAGAAAAAGATCAAAGCTATGTACATTAAAATGGCAACAAATTCACAACTATCAACAACTGAATCTAAAAACAAACTAAGCAAACAAGCAGAACAGGAACAGAAAACAAACTAAGAAAACAAGCAGAACAGGAACAGAGTCATAGATATGGAGATCATTTGGAGGATTATCAGCTGGGAGGGAGAAGGGGGAAAATGGGGGAAAAGGTACAGAGAATAAGAAGTACAAATTGGTAGTTACAGGATAGACAGGAGAATGTTAAGAACAGTATAGGAAATGGAGAAGTCAAATGACTTATATGTATGACCCATGGACATGAACTAAGGGGGGGTTGCTGGAGGGAATTGGGGTACCAGGTAGACGGGGGCCAAGGGGGAAAAACTGTGAAAACTGTAATAGCATAATCAATAAGATATATATTTTTTTCAATTTATTTTATTGTTGTTCAACTATAGTTGTCTGTATTTTTAAAAATGGTTATGTACCAGATTAAGTGATTTGGCCAAGGAATGCAAGTGTGACTCAACTTGCATGAAAATCAATTAATGTAAATACCATATTCATAGAATAAAGGACAAAACCCACATGACCATATCAATAAACACAGAAAAAGCATTTAACAAAGTTCAATTTGTCCTTTGATGAAAAAAAAATCAACGAACTAGAAATGAAAGGGAACTTTGTCAACACTGAGGTACTATATGTTAATATATGACAGATGCACTGTCCTAATCACTTTCATTAATTAAATAATTTAATTCTCACATCAACTCTATGATGCAGGAGTATTACTACCCACATTTTGCAGATGAGTAAACTGAGGCACAATCCATTGTTTCCTATGTTAGGAAGCTAATAAGTTGCAGAGCTAGGTTTCCCATACAGAAATTCTAGCTACAGAATCCATGTTCTTTTATTTTCCTTTTTGTCCCCAAGGGGGTGCACCATTCCCAGAGGTACTGCAATACTGGGTTGATGAGCTGTATGGATGGGGTGAGCTCCTAGTCTATATCCCTGCTCTAAAAATGCATTTAATATGTTGTCCTTGGATAGAGGACATATGTTAAACTGATAAGAATATATCTCTATATTTGATCTTAGCCAAAAGGCCAAGAATGATCAGAGTCCACATTCTTAATCATAGTCAGCTATACTGTCTTTTAAAGAATATGGAATTATCATTATAATGATAAACAAATCAGGTTTTCTTAGAACTAGTGATTTGATCTTCACCTGTAGGTAAACTTAATGTATAAGACTGTGAATTTATATCAGTGACCATAATTTGTAATATTGGTAAGAATTTTTAATAATAATTCCAATGTTATTTAACCAAGTTGGTAATGTTGGGTCAATACTGATACTTAATTGTAATTTAATTCATAAAACTAATGATGATTATTTATATAAGCAAACATAATTTGTAATATTGCTAATTTTTAAAAAAAATTAGTTTTAGCCCTAGCTGGTGTGGTTCAGTGTATTGAGCGCCTGTGAACCAAGCATCACTGGTTCAACTCCCAGTCTAAGGCACATGCCTGGGTTGCAGGCCAGGTCCCCAGTAGGGGGCACATGAGAAGCAACCACACATTCATGTTTCTCTCCCTCTCTTTCTCTCTCCCTTCCCCTCTCCCTAAAAATAAAATAAATAAAATCTTTTAAAAAATTAGTTTTAAAGTTTGACAGCATTAGTAATGGTGAACAATTTTTATTTGTAACTAAATTTTGATTCATAACTGTGATACTTATAATTTATATTAGTAATCATAACTAATATTAGTAATTATTTATAATAACAATTTAAATGTAAACCATATTCATGATTTCTATTAAAAACTATAATTTAATTCAAAACATAGTTATTCAGAATTTATATTAGTAACCTTAATTTGTAACATTAACAATAATCTGTAAAATATTTTACAATTTTTTACTAATAGTTTAATTTATTTTAAAGATATAATAAATCTCAATCTACTGAGCCACACCAGCCAGGGCTATTTCAGTAATTATAACTTGATTCACAACATAGGTACTAATTGCTTATTTTGATAATCTTAGTTTGTAAACTGGTAATAAATTATAATGTTAATTATAATATTCGATATTAGTAATAATATAATCTGTATTATTAAGCATAATATAATTCAAAACAGGAACTTATAATTTATATTATAGCATAATTTATAATATTCATAATTGTAATAATAGTTATAATATTTTATGACACTAGTTATAATTATTCAATTTCTATTAGGAAGTATAATTTAATATATAACATTAATATTAATAATTTACATCAGTAATAATAATTTGCAGTATTGGTGATAAATTGTAATATTAATGATTATATTTTATGATAATAGTAACCAACAGTTCAGTTGGTATTTGTAAGCAATTTAATTCATAACATTGCTAGTAATAATTTCTATTGCCAGTCCTAATTTGAAACATTGGTAACATTTCTATCAAGATGAATATTTGATAATGTTAGTTAGCAACAATGACTTACTTTCTATATGTAATATAATCAGATTCATTATATTAGTTGTGTTAATTTGTATTAGAAATCAATTTTTAGTACTCATGAGAGCAGATACCATATGTAACAGGATCAATGATTTAAATCACACTTTTAATCAGGTAAGTAAATTCATGGTATGAATACACACATGGAATAAACACATTGCAAAGCAACTTCCCTCTTCACATGCACATGCCACTTGTACTCTCTGATAGTGTACCATTGGTGACACATCCATTGGTAGTACTATTGCAGTAGGCACAATGCTTTTCCCTCCTGCCCACTCTATTTCCCCCAGACTCACCATCTCTTTGTGATTGGGATAGAAGGTCTGATTGATTAGAGGGAATTCCTCTGTCCCCAGTTTCTTGTGCAGTCGAACCATCTGGGCAAACTATGAGAGCCAGGAGAGACAGGTCAGCAAGTCCTTCACTTGAGGGAGTCTCCAATCTGGGGGTTCAAGCTTCCAAACTTCTTCAGTTCCCAAAAATCACAGTGATTTTGAGCTACTTGCATGCATGAGATATTCCCTCTGACAATAACACCTTTCTTGTCACTTACCACCCAGGGCTTGTCACAGAAGTTGTAGACAGAATGCAAAGAATTAACACTGGGGATTCCAGCATACTGCATCCCAATGACCAAACTGCGGTAGTCTCCATTCCGGGCCATGCTGAAGGCATGCTGACGAATCAGCACAAAGTCCGGCTTCAAAGACCTGGGGCACAGGGGTAGGATTGTTGAGGATCCCCCTAGAAGCTTCCCACCACCCTTAGAACAAAGAGCAAGATTCCATATCTCCACAGCACCTAGAAATTGTAAAGTGGTTTCTCACCTCAGCACATATACACAAATTGTTTCCTCCCACACAAACACCCTTTCTAACCTTTCCCCATCTGGTGACCGCCTTAAGACTTTCCTACATGCTCCTCTCCTCACCAAGGTCAGCTTCCAGCTTACCTACTCAGCTCTGACAGTTCTCTAGTCACAACCTCTCAGACGACTAGCTGTCCTCAAAGGAAGCTGCCCAGAATAAATTCCAACTTCAGGGTCTTTACATAGGCTGTTTCCTCTGCCTGAAACATTTTCCCCCTAGATCCCTGCATGTAGCTCTCCTTCACTTCCTTCAGGTCTTTCCTCAAATGTCTCTTACACTAATAATCTACCTTATCCAAATTGCAGATCCCTCCACCAGCCAACAATCCCTTTCCTGCTATGTATTTTTTCTTAGCACTTTTACATTTTGTAATTTATTTGTTTATTGTGTGTATCCCACACCATAGAAAGTAAGCTTCATGAGGGCAGAGGGATTTTGTGGGTTTTTGGGGGGGTCTGTTTTGATCACTGCCAGATTTTCAGCACACATAACAGGGCCTGCCATACAATAGGTGCTCAATAAATGTTTGTTGAAGGTAAAATGTGGAGCAGCACCTGGTATACAGTAGATGCTCAGGAAATATTGTTGAATAAATAACTGAAATGTTTGGTTTGTGGTCTGCTGGGATCCTGACTCTTCTTCAGAAGAGAAGTATGTTCCACATTCTGTGCCTAAGTTATTAAAAATAAAAATATATTTGACATATAACATTGTGTAAATTTAAGATATATGATTGACACATCGATTTGATACATTTATATATTGTAATATGATTGTCATTGTAGCAATAGTTAGCATGTCCATTATGTCATATAATTATTTCATTTTTGTGGCAGAATAATTGATATCTAGTCTCTTAGCATGTTTGATGATTATGATACAACATTGTTGTCAATATCCACTATACTGTACATTAAATCTCTAGGACACATTTATCTACCAGTTGCAAGCTCATACCCTTAAATAACATCTCTCATATTCTTCCAGCCTCAAACCACTGGTAATGACCATTTTAACTCTCTGTTTTTTATGAGTTTGGCTTTTTAAAATTCTACATATAAGTGATGTCATACAGTACTTGTCTTTTTCTGTCTGATTTATCTCACTTAGGATAATATCCTCAAGGCTCATCCATGGTGTCACAAATGGTAGGATTTCCTTCTCTCCCATGACTGAATGATATTCCATTGTGTGTGTATGTGTATGTGTATATGAGGTCTGTCTGGAAAAAGTCCAACTACTATTAGTATAACAAGAACGGTTTGTGTGACATCAGTGTAACCTGGTGGCCAAGAGAGTGGACTGGCATGCGCATGTCTGAACAGTGACGGCTACACTGTACTAGTCCATAGGGGTGCTAGATGCTGTTCAGTGAGCATTTCTACTGTGTGGCCATCACATTAAAAATGATTGAGTGAGTAGAGCAACAAATCTGCATCAAATTTTGCATTAAGCCTGAACATTCCTCCACAGAAACTAGTTGGATGTTTCAGAAGGCCGAAGATATGAGCAACTGGTGATTGGCAGCTTCATCATGATAATGTTCCTGCTTGTGCATCACATCTCATGCAGAGCTTTTTTGTGAAACATCAAATCACCCAGGTGACTCAGTCCCGCTACAGCCCAGATTTGGCACCCTGTGACTTCTGGCTTTTCCCAAAACTAAAATCACCTTTCAAAGGGAAGAGATTTCAGATTGTCAGTGAGATTCAGGAAGATATAATGGTGCAGCTGATGGTGACTGTGAGAACTGTGTGAGGTCCCAAGGTGCCTACTTTGAAGTGGACTGAGGTGTCATTGTCCTATGTACAATGTTTCTTGTACCTTGTATCTTCTTCAATAAGTGTCTCTATTTTTCATATTACATGGCTGGAAGCTTCTGGACAGACTCTCTCTCTCTATATATATATACACACACACACACACACACATACACACATATATACACACATATGTGTGTTTATGTATATGTGGATATACATATATAGACATATATATAGACATACACGTGTGTGTACATTTGTAGGTACATACATATGTATCACATCTTCTTTATCCATTTCTCCATCAGTGGACACTTAGGTTGCTTCCATAGCTTGGCAATTGTTATGGGCCTAAGTTCTTGCTCACAGAAGGACAGGTGCAGAGGTGGAGATTCTCCTTCAGATCTAAGGGAGTCCTTATGCCTCTCCTATAACACCAAGTTGCCCTTTTAATACTCACCGCACAACCTTCACCCCATTCCGAAGAACTTCCATGTCCACAGAGAATCCACCATTGGCATGAGCCACGAGGTTGAGATCCGAGAATTCAGCCTGCAAAGGAAAAAAGTCAGCAATTCACTCATATCACACAAAAATGACCATTTAGTCTGCTATCTGGACAGTTGATCCCCAGGTCCACCTGCTCCAACTAACCTGTTCTACTTTAATATCAATTTCCCCATGGATCTTCTTTCCTTTGAAGTATTTTGCCCTGTAAAGGAAAAGCAGAGTATATCCATTAATGCTCAAATCTCAGGAAGACAAAGCCCAAGCCACTCCTTTCACGCCTTTGCCCATAAAGTGATTTATGATTGTTGAAATGCTTTGAAAACTTAAAAAGTGCTTTGTGAACATTAAAGAAACAATAAAGTAATCCTCATGGAGGTGTATAAATGTCAAAGAATATTGCAAAGTTTAAAATAAGTCCTTAAACCCCAGAGAGCAGGTATTTTCTAGAGTATGGTCTGCTTGTCACACTGCTACTGTAAATATTTTTGGAAAGCTTCAGAAAATGAGGAGTGCTTTGTAAACTGTAAGATACTTTGAAATTACATGCAAGTTTTTAAATGGCAAAGAACCTTAGATACAAATATATGAAGTGTGCCTGGGTATGTCTCAGTGCCTCTATCTGCTTGTACGGCCTGAGGCATATCCCAGCTCTCTGGCCTTTTCCCAAAGAGGAGCACATTCATTACATATGGTTATGTGCTGTGAGGGACAGAACAGCCATGGGTAGGATAGGTATCAGAAAAGGAGAGACAGATTGAGGGGTGCAGGCTGGTGGTGGTTCTACAGAAGCTGGAGACTGCAATGATGGGGGTGGGAAAGAATGCATCTGTGGACGAGTAGAAATGATAAGAGGGAAGAGGGGTAGGAGCAGCAGTAGGCACATCATAAACTGCCATGTTACTATCCCTAAGTCCACCCAATGCTGGGCTAGGTTTACAGTGGCCTCATCCCCCAGACCCAGGATTTCCTACCTGATAACCTTCTCCACAGACAGAAGCTTATTCCCAATAAATTTTTCTCATAGAAGGGGGTGAGGGGACAAGCCACTCTTCAGGTCACCTACATGCACACAATCAGGGTCTATGACACATACACATAGCACAAATGGGCTCTTGTGAGTTGACTAATATACCCCGAACACCTCAAACACAGTTATTTACTTCTCTCTCCCTCTCTCTCTCTCTCTCTCTCTCTCTCTCTCTCTCTCTCTCCCTCTCCACACACACACACACACACACACACTCACTCCATTACTGACACTGAACCCTTACTAGTGTTGGAAGAAAATCTTTTAAAGACCTGTGTATTTTTTATTTATAAAATGGTAACTGCAAATTATATCACTATTTTTCAAACTTTTTTGATCATAAGTGTAGTGGGTACTCTGGTCAGATCTTCTCTTCAAGGCCAGTGCACCCTGAATGTTAGCTGCTGACAGCTCATGGCTGTGTCCCACTGGAAATTGTCTTATGTCACAGGGAACTGCCTTAGCCAAGGTTACAAATACTCAGGCAGCCCATGACTTATACCTGGTCTGAATGAGTACAAAGGCCAGCTTCTTTGCCTCAATATAGGCTGACTTTGAAGAATCATCCCAAACCCAGAGCTCCCCCTAGGGTTAGCTAAGGCCTCTGATGCAACCACTGGACCAGTTTCTCCCTCTGTCCAACCCTGCCCTCCTTACAGGTGTTGATCCCAAAGGCACTCCGCAATAAGCCTCATGCATGCAAATTTCTGCTTCCAAACTTGTTTCCAGAGAACCTAACCTAAAACAGTGGGCCAGAGAAGTCAAGCCACAAAGAAAACTCTAATACAATTCTGGAGCTGAGTCACCCAGCAGCTACCAGGCAATGAGGAACCATCATTTGTCAGGGGCGGAGCACAGATAGCCCCTGACATGCTGTGTTGACTCAAAGTGTTCTGCAACAGGTCTCGGCCGTGATGCAAGCAGTCCTGCCACTCAGGCCATATGATCTAGCAGCTCCTGTGATACTGGATGTGTCAATAGTGGGAAAAGATGCAGTATAGAGCTTAAGAGAAGCTTGAGTAGGAGGCCCCTGAGGTTCTAGAGCAAGGCCATGCCATCTGCATCAGAGAATTACATACCTTTTGAGAAACAAATCTTGGTGTAGTACTGGGCCCCAAATAGAGACAGAATGCTTGACCATGGGGTACCAAGTAACTTCACATCAAGAAATGTCCATTACAAGCTACGTTCTGCTAGGCATGCCAATTAATAAAGTCAGACAGGTCCAGCAGCCAGGACTGACCCCAAATAGGAACAACCAAGCTTCCTGAGCAGGTAACCCAGATGCCCATGTCTGTCATCAACACTATTGTGCTAGTGTTTCCCTCAGCTCACTTAAAGGGGCTCCTTACAACCAGTGGATAAAGGGAGAAAAAGCCTAAGCTTGCTTCATAAACGGATTGCCTTGGTGTATGAGTGGAACCCAAAAATGGACAGTGGCTAACCTGTAGCCCCATTCAGAGAGGTCTTGAAAGCAGTGGCAGAGCTTCCAATGGGCAAAGCTTTGAGCTGTACACTTGGCCATCTACTTTGTGAGGAAAGAGAAGTGGCCCATAATTAGAATATATATTCACTGAATGGCTTGGCTGATTTGTCAGAAGCTTTGAAAGAAACATATTGGAAAATTAGAACAAGGAGGTCTGGGACACAAAAGTGTGGGTGGACATATAGGAGTGGAGGTGAAATACAATGAAGACCAAAGATCTTTCTATTCTATGTTAACACCCACCAGACATCATCCACCATGAAAGTGGCACTAGGCAACCAGGTAGACAGAATGAGTCAGCCAGATGATGCCAGCCAGGCTTTTGATTTAGTCACCCCAGTGCTGGCAGATAGGCACATCTATGAAGTGGCAAGAGTAACAGAGATAGAAGCTATATGTAGAAGCTTACAGAATCACTGCAGAATGTTCAACCTGCTGGCAACAGAGACCAATAGTGAGTCTCTGACGTGGACCATTTCTCAAAAAAAAAACAACAACCAGCGCCCTGGCTGGTGTAGCTCAGTGGATTGAGCCCGGGCTGTGAACCAAACAGTCACAGTTTCGATTCCCAGTCAGGGCACATGTCTGGTTTGCAGGCCAGATACCCAGTAGGGGATGTGCAAGAGGCAACCACACATTGATGTTTCTCTTCCTCTCTCCCTCCCTTCCCCTCTCTAAACACAAACTAATAAAATCTTTTAAAAATTAAAAAAAAAAAACAGCTACTTTGTGGCCTCCCCCACCCTGGAAAGAGTAATGATTAATTTTGACTGGAATGTTTTATGTATGAGTTTGCCTTTCTTGACTGCAGGACCTTAGCCAGTATCACTGACCAAGGGCTTACACAGTGTGTGTTCCACCAGTATGGGATCCCACATAACCTTGTATCAAACAGGAAAGGAGGTACAAAAGTGGGCCCATGACCATGGAATCAACAGATGACCTTATATAGCTCACCACCCAGAAGCTGCTGGCCTGAAAGAGTCATGAAACTTCTTGCAACCACAGCTAAGACCCCAGCTTAGAGGTAATACCATGCAAGAACGAAGCACCATCCTCAAAACCCGGTATACACCCTAAATCAATGACCATCGTTTGTGCTTCATTTGTAATATGTAAAATACATGGGTCTGGGGACCCAGAGGTGAAAGTAGGAGTGGCCCAGCTTACCATCAATCCCAGTGATCCACTTTTGGAATGTGTGCTTCCTGTTTCCTCAGAGCTCTGCAAGGTTAGAGGTCCTGGTTCTCCAAGGGGGAACACTGCTACCAGGGGACACAGCAAGAATCCCATTACATTCTAAGCTTTGAGTGCTACCTGGACACTTCAGGTTTCACATGCCAATGGACATGAAGAAGAGTCACTGTCTGGGCAGGGGTACATGGCCCTGATCATCAAGAGGAGGCAGGGCTGCTGTTACATAGTGGGGGCAGGGAGGCACCCAAGTGATGTACTTGGGTATCTGTTGGTACTCCTTGCTCAACTTTGATGGCAAGTGGACAAGAACACCAGCCACAGCCTGAGGACAGCATGGGGACCAAGGGCTCAGGGATCTCTCAAGGATGAGGGAATGGATCATGAACCAGGTAAGCTACTGAAACCAAGAGAGATGCTAGCTGAGGGTAAGGAGAATCTAGAATGCATAGAAGACAATGCATATCATTTATTTATGCCACATTTATTAACTGTGTCAGTGGAGGCTGTAGTTCATCCCACTAACCATGCTCTTTCAAGTTACCACCAGAAAACAAGGCCAATTACAGTCCTGGAAGAGGTGTTCCCAGATGGGATGAACTTACTCTAAGGAGTAAGTGAATCTGAGCAGTACAAGAGGTGGGCATATGCCTTCACATCTATCCCCCAACTTCTGGGAACAGCTACTGCTGAAGCTTCACAATGCTGTTCCACCCTGAGAATTGCCCTCTGTACCACAAATTTGCCTTCCCCAAGATTGTTTCTCCTCCCAGGAGGAAGCCTGGAGTCAATGACTGACTGATGCAGGAATTCAGAAACATGGCTCCTCCAACTCCATTGGGATAACTCTGGAGGGTCCTCCCAGCTCCCCAGAGGATTGGCTGAGGCCTCTGTTGTGGCTGCATCATAGCTCAACCTTTCCTTCTGCCAATTCTTGCTTCCCCCCACTTCCCCTGCAACAGGAGTTGTTCCCCAGAGCTCTCCCCAAGAAATCTGCATGCAAATCTCAGAGTCTCAAGGTCTGCTTCCAGGGAAGTCCCAGAAAAGAAGCCACAATAAAAAATATAGTTTATATAACCCACTTAATACATATTTACATAATAACCCACCCTATACATATAATATTTGTTATATAAGACGCACATAATATGTCATAAAGCAAATATAATATAGGTTGTCTTATATAATATATAACATACAGTATATGGTATATTACATATTATGTGTAGATGTATCTATAATGTATAGTAGAATGTGTTTAAATGTACATATATAATTAGAATGAAAGTTTCAGTAAATAATTATCTTTACTATGTGCAGTAGAGTCTGAAATTTCCTATTCTATTTTGTTCCATTTCATGAAGAAAACCACACAAATATATATTATATACAATTAACCCATTATATAGTAAATGTATTATTATAGTATATGTCATATATAATATATGTCACATATTATTAATTATATTTCTTATTGGAGTAACACTTTTGCTAAATAATAATTCTACTTATGATGTGCAATATACCCTGTTATTTTCTATTTTCATTTATTCTACTTCATGAAGCAAGTGAAATGCTGGCAATAGGTAGTCCACAGTTTGGAAAATACTTGACTAAATTATCTCCAAAAAGGAAAGATGAATCTCAACTCAGAGTTTGCAACTTTAAATCATGGAGGACTCAAGACTCAAAAAGGAATGAGAGTGGTAAGGTTTGGTGGGAAAGGTGTCAGATTGTACTTAGATGTACAATCCATTAGAGTTTGCACAACTCCTCCTTTATTCCAGGCTGAGGTCACTAAAACTTGTGTAGTTCTGAATGTCTGCAAGTTGGTGATGTAAAGGTCTGTGTTCCCCACATTAAGCCTGGTGTACAAGGCTCTCTCCCTTTATCCATCCTACTTCACCTGTAGTAGGTACTAAATAAATATTTGCTAGATTGACTGGAAGAAGACTGGAGCAGCTGCTGGGATAAAGGGGGGTCGTTTCTGGCATGCAGAAGGGGAAGAGAAGAATATTTCACTGAATTCAGCAGGTTCTCAATAAATGCTTGCTGGACAAATTAGAAGAAAAATGGAAAACACTGGAGTTATGATTATGGAAAGGGGAAGAATCTTGTCAATATTCAGTAGGTAATTAAGGTAGCTTGCCGGAATGAAGAAAAAAGGAGCATAGCATCTGTCTGGAGAGTCAGCGTGGAGAAGGAAAATCTAAAAGAAGGTGGTTACCAGTATTCAGAAGGGGCCTCTTGAAGGTTTGTTGACGTCAATGGAGCAAATTTAGCCAGGAAGATGGCATCTGTGTGAGTGGGTGTTGGTGAAGGAATTGTAGCATGTGTTCAACAAATGCTTTATGGATTGTTGCAGAAAAGACTAGAAGAGCCTGCTGCAGGAATGGGAATATGGTTGTTTGAACAGAATACAGTGAGAGATTAATAAATGCTCTTTGGGTTCTTTGGGGAACGTGGCAGTTGGGAAGATGGCTGCTAAGTGGGGGAGGGAACCTGGCCAGAATACAGTAGGTGCACATTAAGAGCTTTCAGGATTGTGTAGTGTGGAAGACAGGATGAAGATTGTTGAAGGGGTAGTGGGGCTACAAGAGGGGGAGGAGAAGAATAATGAATAAGGGGTTATTAGTAGTATATAATAAGTGTTCATTAAAGAACCATGGTGTTAGTGGAGAAAAAGCTATAGAGAATCCAGCTTGTGGTTAGGATTAGAAGGAAGAAGAACTGAAGGAGGGGTTGCCCTAGTATATAGTAGTGCTTAATAAATGCCTCCCACACTCTGACACATGGAAAGTATATAATTAATATCTGTAGAATGAATAAATGGTTCTGAATATAAAGGCTGCTGAGGTAGGGAATGGTTGTCTAACCAGTAAAGAAATGGTACTCAATATATTTAGACTAAAGTAGACCCCTCGGGAGGGAGCACTTGAGACAGTGCCAGAACCTCCAGACTTAGAATGACTTTTACATAGTAGGTGCTCAATACACGTTTAGTGGCTTAAATAGAAGGAAGACCCTTTGGGGTATAGACTTAAGAGTGGGAGAGGGAATCCTAGAGACACTGAAAGGAGTAGAAGAAAAGTAGACCCTTATAAATTAGGCTCTAGACTTATCAAAGGAAGGACCCTGGAGAGAGGTTTTATGATTCATGCAGGTTCTCCTAGGGGTAATGGAGGAATGCTCACTAGAACCAGTAAAAGAAAAAGGACTTTGGGGAGGAGGTGTGAACATATAGCATACAGAAGTTACTCCATATATGTTTGCAGGAGCCATTGGAGGAAAAGTTTTTTGGGGGAAGATAATTAGAATTGGCTGCCTGACAGGAAATAAATGCACACTGAATCCATTCAAAGAAAAGATATTTTGGGGGGGGGGGGCTAGGGATGGGCATATAATCAATTGGAGGAAAATCTTTGGGGTAAGGGGATTGAAGATGCAGAAACTTGATCTATGCAAGCTTCATCCTCCAGCCAAGGAGAGGAAAGACTTTTGTGGAAAAGGCACCAAATCAGGCACACAGCAGATGCTCCACAAATGCTCCAAGGAGTGATTAAAAAGATAAGGTCTTTGGAAAGAGGGATCGAAATGGTGCACACAGTGCTGGGTATCTGATTACTGTATTAACTGGAGGCAAAGGCCTTTAGGGAAAGGGTTGAAGTTTGGATCATGCAGAAGGTGCTCAATACATGCAGACTGAAGTCACTGAAGGAAAGGCATTGGGGAAAGGGTTTGAGGATGGGGTAAACAGTAGACCCTCAATAAATGCTTCCTGAATACACTGGAGGAAAGAGTCTTTAGAGAAAGCTCACACAGCAGGCAGTGGATAAGAGCTAGGTGGGTCTACCAAAGAAAAGATCTTTGAAAGAGTAGCCTGAAAATGGGGGATAAAAGAGGCACTCAATAAATGCCTTCTAGATCCATTGTAGGAAAAGGATTTGGGGGAGAGAGTCTGAAGATGAGTCACACAGAGAAGGTTCAAAAATGTTCTTGGAACTCATTTGAGGAAAATGGTATGTTTGAGAAAGGGGTTTAGGGATGTGGCATATAACAAGCATTTAATAAATGCTTTCTAGGTTTTTTGAGAAATAGGTCCTTGGAGAAGGGGCCTGGGGTTGGACACACAGAGGGCATTCAATGAAGGCTCACAGGATCCATTAATGGCAACACCTTCGGTGAGAAGCTGGGGTGGGATACACAGCAGGCACTCAATCAACGTTCACTGAATAGTTTAAATGGTCTTTGAGGAGAGGACTGGGGTGGGGCACATAGCTCACTCTGGATACACACTCACAAGATCTATTAGAGTGAAGGCCTTAGGGGAAGGGTTGAGGGATACAAAATACATGTCAAGCTCTCAGTGAATGTTCACAAAATTCATGGAAGCCAAAGGCATTGGGGACAGGCTCCCACTGAGGCACACTGCACATACTTGATAAATGCTCACGAGATCCATTAGAGGACAAGGCCTTTGGTGAGAGGGTTGGGCAGGTGGACAGGACACATTAGGCTCTCAAATGTTCACAGGATATATGGAAGCCCAGGCTTTTGGGAAGGAGGTACCTGGCAGGCACAGGATAATTACTTCCTGTATGGATCAAGGACTTGGTGGTGGGGAGGTGGGGGTAAGGACGGGGCACACAGAGAGCGCCCAGAGTAATTTAAAGGAAAAGGGTTTGAGTGAGGGCGTCAGGTGCGGGACACACAAGTGGTGCTCAATAATTGCTCATCACAGAACCATCTGGGGACCCAGGCCCGCGGGAAGACGTCCGCGGCAGTGGCTTACCAGTCAGTGTGGGGCTCGTCGATGACCAGCAACACCCTGGCGGCGGCGCCCCCACGGCCTCCGCCCCCAGAGCCGCCGCCCACCTGCTCGCTGAAGGTGGCGGCTGCGGCCGCAGTGGTCTGCTTGACCGCGTTGGACAGCGATGAGAAGAAGCCACCGCCCCCTGAAGACCCAGGGCTAGGGGCAGCCGGAGAGGCCACGGGGGCAGCCGAGGAGACCCTTTCGTTAGTGGCGGTCGCGGGACCGGGTGTGGCCCCAGGGCTGGGGGCAGCAGGTGGCGGCGGGGGCGGCTGCGGGCGCTGCAGGTCTGTCATGTACCCATTTGGCAGATTGGCCATGAAGTTGCTGTCCGACAGGCGGCGCCGCAGGTAGTTCATGGCTGCGGAGCGGGGCAGGGGGTCCTAGCAGCAGTCCGGTGAGGAGTCGCGGGGGCAGATTGCGCGGGCCCAGGAGCACAGCTGCGCTCTCAGGCACGACGCGACTCTTCCGCTGCCCGCTGCAGACTGAGGCAGCGCTGAGTCGCCACCGCCGCAGCGCGGATGGTCGCGCCCGTGCCCCCCTATCTGGGGCCCCGCGTGGTGCAGTCCGGCTGGGCCAGCGGCTGCGAGGACGCGACCAAGGCTACGGGGAAGGGGAGTTTGGGGAGGAATGGTGAGTGACGTCAGCGCGCCTTCAGTGCTGGGGCGGCGGGGCGGCGGTGGCGCGCTCCAGCAGGCGGGGGCGAAGGCGCTGTCCGTGGTGCTGAAGGGGGCCGTGCGCAAGCGCCACGCCGCATCCTGTTCCCTTCCCCCCTCCGATTGGGGATGCGCAATTTGGGGAGTGGGGGCGGGGTGGGTGCTTGTAGCAAAGGTTGGAGTGGGTGGTCATGCAGGCCCCCCAACCTGTCTCATTCTGATCTTCACACCCAGTCGCACCCATACACAGGACCCTCAGCAAATACTCGGTTCCCAGTGTTGATATGCACCGCAGAAGGCATGTGGGGGTAGGAATGGAGGCACATCCGGAGACACAAAAGTAGAGGACGCCCTCACAGCAAAGGGTGGGGGTCACACGCAGTACCCCGCGGATAAGTTGCCCAAGTACACACAGGCTCAGCTAGGCAGAGAGGTGCAAGGGAGGTATAGACAGCGTTAGACAGGTGGAGGTTGGGACTTGGGCAGGGTACACATCTCTGCCCTGGCAGGGGTGCTGGAGGCACACAGGGAGTAATATACACATAAAAATACATGTAGACACCCACAAAAGTAAGGAAACACACGGAGGCATGTACAGACAAAAAACACACACCAATCTATGTATCTAGGCATACATACAAACCCAGGGTAACACACAAGGGCATACATGCATACATGCACACATATACACTTACACATGCACACAGGCACCACACTCAACACACACAGAACCTGGAAAACTCACATAAGTATGGACATCCAGACAAAACACATACCCACAGACAATGATGGACAAATCTAGATCAACCACACAGACACAGTCCCTGAACTCTAGCCCCGATGTACCTATACCTATGCCCCTCTACACACACATTAGGTTGCACACACTGGGTCCAATCGTTTGCCCTGGACACAGTCAAAACCCACAGTAACTAAGTATCAGTGCCCACAGCTGTCTCCCTCTGCACCACAAAACTTTCCACAGAGGAAGACACACCTTAGGGTATGTACACAGTAGGTGCCAAATGTTTGTGACATGAGCAAATGGCCTTTATAGTCTTGACAGAGGTGGACTGTGAAAGCCATTTTGTCAGCTCCTATTAAGATCCTGATTACAATGAGAGCACAAGTCTATTTTAAAATACCCAATGCTTAGCCATTTACATGTATTGTCTTATGCAACCCTCACAACAATCTTATGGGGTAGTTAATATCATTTCTATTTACAGATGAAGTGACCCAAGAATTCCAATTCATTCCTAAAGCATCATGTTCACTATGTGATCCCCACATTTTCTTTTTTTTTTTTAGATTTTATTTATTTATTTTTAGAGAGGGAAGGGAGGGAGAAAGAGAGAGAGAGGGAGAGAGAGAGAGAAACATCAGTGTATCAATGTGCAGTAGCTGGGGGTCATGGCCTGCAACCCAGGCATGTACCCTGACTGGGAATCGAACCTGCAACACTTTAGTTCGCAGCCCAAGCTCAATCCACTGAGCTATGCCATCCAGAGCTAATCCCCACATTTTCAAAAGAATGTTCCAGAAACAGGTGAGAGTATGGCTGGAAAAACTAATTCAAGGGGCATTATGGCAGGAGATGAGGTCAGAGAGGTTATCAAGGACCAGATGGGCAGGGCCTTGTGGGCCATAGTGAGTGATGAGGGTGGACCAAATGAGGTAGAAGATATGGCAAGAAGTAGGCAGATTTGGAGCCTCTTCTGCCTGCAGGATTTTCAGATGAATCATCCACTTACCTATTCATGTGTCCACTCTTCATTCATTAAGTTATTGGCCTGTTTAAACAACATAGTAATGGTGTGGGATCTGGAGTCAGAGTGCGTGCCTTCAAACTAAAAATGATTGACTCACCTCTAAGGGTGTGGGATGGGAGAGAGAAAACTCCATTTTTGTATGTGCTGTGACTTCTGTCAGGAATGTTCTCCCCCTACCCTCCCAAGGATCATCTTTGACCAAGGTCTTCAGGAAGTCTCCTCTTCCAGGTCTTGTATTCCATTTCCTTTTCCCCTAGGCTCCCACAGTCCTCAAGTCAAATACCTCCAAAACGTCCTCTACTTCCTCCCCCATCCCAGTCAGCTCCAGTCTCACCTCCAGTCCTTTGCTTTGGACATTCTTTCCCCATCTCTCCGGGATGCCTTCTCTGGCACTTAATACCCCAGTTTTCCCCACATTGTGTAACTCCCCAAGAATTGGGTATTTCCCAACATTTCAAAGTATGTGTGCCCCAGTTTTTTTCTCAATAAGTGAAGTAAACAAGTTATGCTGGACCTATGGTGCCCTCTCTGGGGGACAGGAGCAGTTGCAGGGCTACAGACCTTTCTGGCTCCTAAGGAATCTGTTGCTAGGCTGCTTCTTCTCAGGGGTTCTATTTCTAGTTTCCTAGTACTTATGGACCCCAGCACCATTCCCTTTCTGCAGGTGGTTCAATTTCTATAAATTAATATTTGTAGATTGTTTTGCAAAAGAATGAGGATTCCCCCAGGAGTGTGTCAAGTCCTTGAAGCAGAGGTAAGGCTCCTCTTCCATCTTCTCCAGTAGGAATTTAAAAGAAGGCCCCAAGAATGCTTTCTTTGTTGTGTGTACCTATGTTTATAACATACACATCCATGTTGTCTTAATGTGCATGTGTGCACATACACACCACTATAAGTCACATTATTACAGTACACACATGGTTGTAACTTCACACTCACTGCACAAACTCAATACATCCTTAATTTTTGTACAGACCCATAGGCAACTTACACTGCACACACACAAAGTTCCACTTTCTTGTAAACACATATCTCTCTCATACTCTGTATTAGCAACCAGAACACCTCACTGTGGCTTATTCCTGCCAAGATGACCAAATACTTAATAAACTTTGTCTTCATCTCAACCCATCAACTAGCCCATTTTACACAAGGGGAAATCAACCCAGACAACTGAGTGTCCTGACAGACTTCGGGTGTCACAAACCTTCCATCTGAACCCTCCCACACACAGGTGCCCCTCCACTCACAGGACTAAGTCCTAAACTCTGCTCCTGACATGGGGCTTCAGAAATGTCCAGTCCACTACCTTTAGTGTTTGTTTCCTTCTTGGTAAATGGGGATAATAATAACCCTCATAGGTTCATTGTAAATTAAATGAATTCATGCTATGGAAGCTTAAAACACTACCAGGCACACAACAAGTACTCTCTAAGTACTAACTATCACCATAATTATGATTCTTATACTTTGTCTCATTACAAGGGGCCTAGCATTCATAATTGCTAAATGAATGAGCAAGTGCTAAGGGCATTGGTGTATGGGTTTGTTCCATTCACCATGGAGACACATACTACTCTGACTCCTCTTCTTCCGTATCCCCCACAATGTCCAGGACTATTGTTAGTAGGTGTTGACAAGATGTTCCAAGGAAAGGATCACCTATTCTGAGTCTGTTCCCTTGTTCAGATGTCCTCTCCTTCTACCAGCCCTTCTCCACCCCAGATGCCCAGACTTAGTTGTAGTATACAGTAGATGCTAATGACTATTGAATGAATGAACAAATGCTAACAGGAATCTGTATCTGGGTTTGCACTTCTCCTGGCAGATGCTGCCTCCAGCTTCTCTTTGCCCCTACCTCAACTTAGAGCTCTTCATAGGCACTTCCTCACCAGCTCCCACCCTCCAGAGCTATTTGTTGCCACTAATTGCAGCATTGAAGTTGGGCTGTTGGACGTGCGTAGGTGCACATGCTGGTGCAGCAGGGTGCCCACCCCAGCCATGCCTCTGCTGCCTGCTGCTGTTCACCCAGGACTGATGTGGAATCCACCAACCCAGAGGCTCTGGTGGGTGGGAACCTAGGGAGCTTTAGGAGGTGGGGAGATGGATAAAGTATGCCAGCTAATCAGAAAGTGCCTGGCAGGGCAGGTAGCCAAACAGGAAACCCATAATGGAGTTCTGCAGAGGGACATGATGGGTGGCCCCAGGCACTAGGGGGTAGGGGTGGGGGTGGGGGCAGACACTGGGGTTCTGAAAGCAGCAAATGGGTGGAAGGGGTGGATACTCGCCTTCATTCCTGCCAAACTGTGGCCATCATGGAAAATAGTTTTCCACAACAGGCCACTGTGACTTTATCTGTGCTGTGCCTTTTTGCCTAGAAGATGCTATTGCTCTACTCTTGGGGAAGAGGCTGCTTTATTGAGGACTGGGAGGTTAGGGTGTCAGAATGGAACAGAGGTGTTAGAGCTCCTCATCCTCAGGGTCTTTGCAGACAGGTGCGTGTAGACATGGACGTTTCTCTTCCACTACCACCTTCTGCCCCTGTAGCATCTCACACACTGATGATGGTTTCCCCCAGAAGGTCACATTCTTCTTTCCTTGACCTTCAACGATGGTAACAGTGGGCCTGAGGCATTGGGGGGGGGGATAGAAGGGAGAAGCTCAGAGAAGGCAAGAATACATTCAACAAACTCTTATTGAGTGCATATTATGTGCCTAACACTATTTTTAAACTGTGAGATATTGGGCAGTATCTTTATCTTCCTTGTGTCTCACTTTCCCTCATCTGAAAAAATGGGAATAATGGAAATAATAATAACAATACCCACCTCACTGGGCTGAGTGAGGATAAGTGAGTTAAGTCAGGTAAACTGCTCAGAGTTGTGCCTAGTACACAGTAAGTACTCAATAAATGCCAATGATTGTTACTAGTTGACACAAGCTACATTCTCTTACATCCAGAACTCTACATCTCTCTCTCCATTGCCCACTGGAAAACAACCAAATGCTTAGCCCTGACATTCAAGGTCTTATTTTTGTACCTAAATCTCTGACCCAAGGCAATCTCTGCCTCTCTTCCACTTTATCCAGACTCAGTCCCATGTCCAGAATGGGCTTTGCCTGGGTTATTTCTCCCACTAGGCAAGCCCTCCATTCACTCACATCCTGATTTTCTCAATCAGCCCTTTCCCCGTTCATTCCCTTACTCTGCCAAGTCCTTCATGCCTCCATTCAACACCCTTAAGTCATCTTCAGGACCCCTCAAAACCTCACAGCTGGAGAGAACACTTTCCAAATTGTAGGCTTTTCATGAGATGGGAACAAGCCACTTAATCTAGTAGCTTGATGTACATTATGTGGAAATAAGAAGGGATGAGTGGGTGTTTTATCCCTCTCCCATATCTGGGCTACCCTGGCCATGGAAACACTTTGAGCGGCTCATCACCTGTGTCCAGGACTCTGTTCACACAGTCCCGACACCTTCCTGTCAGGGGAGGCCCAATCAGTTTCCTAACCCCAGGTTCAGGTGGCAGTCCCTTTTCCACATACCAACCATTCCTCATATGCCTTCTGTCAGGGCCCTGTCTACCATGGGTCTCTTGGGAAATCCATGGGGTCTGGATTGTGTTTGTCTGCAGCTGTTGCCAAAGAGGCTTTAGAGTGCCTGGGCACAGTGAGACACCATGTGAGACACTGAACCAGCCATGGAGGCATGGGTGACTGAAGCAATGAGTAAGTGAATAGAAGCATGAGTGACTGTACAAGCCAATCAAAGCATGAGTAACTGAGAGAGCGAGCAAATGGACACAAGCAGGAGTGAGTGAATGGGAGAATGGCTGAGTAACTATATTAGTGACTTGAGGGCAAAGAGGCTACTAACTCTCCCTTCAATATCTTATTTCTCAGCTTCTTCTTTAGTTTCCCCCACTTCCTGCAGCTGGGAAATGACACTTGGTGGAGCAGGCACCTTAGGCCCACTGGTGGAAGCACTGGTTGGGGGTAGCTGACTCTCCTGCCCTAAACACTGACATAGCAATATCATCACCCCTTCTTGTGTGATTGCACAATTTGCCTCCTCACTCACGAGAAGTTGGGGAGATGGGCCTTGCAGAGGCGCTGGCGACTGCGGGTGGGGTTGGGTCCACATGGGGGCGTGCACAGCCCCCAGGTACTCCACTCTGACCATGAGCCTTCCCCTGAAATGAGAGGAGGGAGTTACTGAGTCAGAATTAGTGGTCTCGGGGGGTTAGTGAGACAGAGGCTACAGGGACATGGGATCCATGGCAGACAGTCAGAAATCTCCATCACTTCATGGGCTGCCCACCCTCACAGGAGAGTCTGGGGAGCACTCACAGGAGCAGCGCTGGATGTTGTAGCAGTGCCGGATATCCTGTTGTTCCCCAGGACATCGATGTCCATTAAATTTGCGGCCCTTGCAGCTCCTTGAGCGTGTCTGCTGGCCTGGGATCTCCTGACAGCTGATGCGTTGCATCTTTGGGCGGATACAGGTGCTCCATTCCTCCCATGTCCCCCACTCTCCATTTACTGCAGAGACAGAAATAGCAGGGGCTTGCACCAAAGAAGGGAGCCAGCAAGGGGGTTGGTTCCCCCCCCCACAGGAAAGGAAGGAATGAGTGCTGGGGGAGGGAGTGGGGGTGATCAGATGTGGGAATGGGGGAATCAGAGGTGGAACCAAGGCATCAGGGCCTGGAATGAAGGAATTTGAGGTAGGAACAAGGCATTAGAAGCAGGAACTGGGCAGCAGAGAAGGGTGGAGATTTAGGCATGGAAATGGTGCATCTTGAGGTGCTTACCAGGGCAGGGCACAGCCGTGTTGCAGATGTGGGTCCGGGTAGCTTCACCAGCACAGAAGGGGCCGCCATGCTGGGGCACAGGGTGATCACATGTCCGTTGTTCTGTGGTCTTGCCAAGGCCACAGGTCACCGGGCAGGGGCTCACAGGGCCCCATGGCCCCCAGCCTCCAGCCACTGTTGGGGGAATAGGAGTGAGGGAAAGGCCACCTCAATCTCCCCCCATCAGCCCATAGACTGTTGAGGCAGACCATCCCCAAATGAAGAGCTCCATGGTCACATGGTCTAAGATCTATCCATGAAATGGCAGAGCATCTGTGCCCAAATCAAGAGCAGAGCATCAAAGGCCTTATCACTATGTACCTGGGCAGGGTGGCAGGCCGCTGCAAGCCCGCTGCTCATAGGCTGACCCTGGACATGGCTTCCCAGGGGGCTTCGTGGAGGGCTCAGGTGCAGAACATGTGCGACTTCGTCTTTCCACAGGCATGTTGGGTCCACCATGGCAGGAGCCTGAGCAAGGGCCCCAAGGGCCCCAAGCAGCCCAGGCCCCATGTGCTGTGGTGGGGTGGGGTGGGAGGAAGCCAACTGTGGTCACGCATGCTGAAGTCCTCCCACCCTGGCAGTTCCCTGCTATAACACTCAGACCCACCCTGGGTGCCTGCATCCGTGCCCTGTGGCTGCCCTCACTCACTGGGGCAGATCTGCTTCGTATCACAGTCCTCTGACTCCTGTGCGTCTCCTGGGCATTGGCCCCCACACTTGGGGGCTGGCTGATCACATGTTCGACGGCGAGTCCGGGTCCCTTTGGAACAGGTGACAGAGCAAGGTGCCCAGGCTCCCCAGTCGGACCAGCCGCCTATCTCTGTGGGAGAAAAGAGAAAGGGACAGGATGGAGTTGGAGGTGTTATTCAGGGTCCTTGTTTCCTCAGGTACCCCACATCAGCTAATCCTGTCCCTGCATCTTCTGTCGCACTTGGTCCACCATCATTGCTCATCTGGACTACTGCAGTAACCTACACACCGATCCCTCTGCCTCACCCCTCATCACATAGACTGTCTTCCTCTGGACATCAAGGAGGTCACAACCCAAATCAGATTATATTTCTCCTCTGCCCGTACCTCATATCACTTAAAATGAAAGCCACACTTGCCTCCTCCTTAGAGCCTTACAAATATCAGGCACTGTCCCACCCTCAGGGCCTCTGTCCCAATTATTCCCAGCGCCCAGTAACAGGCAGTGCATGCCTGTCTAGCTGATCCTCCTCACCGGGACAACATGGCTTGTCCTCACAGGCCTGCAGCTGCCACTCGAGGGTCCCAGGCTGCACCTTCTCAGGGCATTGTCCGCCCCAGCCTATGCAGCGCCGGTGCCGCAGCTGGGAGCCCTCAGTGCAGCTCACTGAGCAGGGAGTCCAACTGGACCACACTGACCATCGTGGGGGCCTGCAGAGAGAAGTGTGTGTGTGTTTGTATATTTATATATCTCCCTCCCATCCTGGTGCAAGCTGGCAAGGATAGCCTATAGGGCTATAGAGTGTGCGCAGGCATAGTTTGGGGTGTGGGATAAATATGTGTGAAATAATGAGAGTATCTACCTCTTAAGGATGTTGGGGGACTGAATGGGAAGAGATAGGCACACAGTAAGTACTTAATAAATATAATTTACCTTCACGATCAGGGACCTGGGGCTGCTACCCTTTCAAGTCCCCCAAGGATAGTGCCAGGCATGCAATAAGCAAATGTAAGGACTAGGGATCCAGAACTCATGTCAGAAACCCACTAGGCCACTGTTGTACAAACAGGAAGTGCTTAATAGATAGGATAAATTATCCCCATGAGCTCAGAGAACCCATCAGATATATGCCAGATCTGTCCTCAAACACCTGCACAACATAATGTTAAATAGATGTGAACTGTTCACATGACTAGGGATCCAGAACTACCTTCAAAAAACTTGTAAGCTTCTCATCCCCAAAGTGTATCTGGGATATACAGTAAGCAGTTAGAAAACATATCTGGCATACAGTAAATGCTCAATACATCTAAGTGGCCATCATGACTATCCTCAGAAATCCTCCCACTGCCCCTCCCACTGCCTCTGCAGTGCACTTGGTATGCTGGAAGTACTCAGTGAATGTAAAGTGCTATCATAATTAGGAGCCTGGAGCTGCCCTCAGAATTCCCCAAACTATCTCGCCCCCACAATGCATCTGTATATAGAAAGTACTCAACATGAGCAGTCACCACAATTAGGGGACTCAAGCCACCTTCAGAAATACCAGAGTTAGCCCTGACTGCTGTGGCTCAGTTGGTTGGGTGTCATCCTGCAAAGTGAAAGGTCACCGGTTCGATTCCCAGTCAGGGCACATGCCTGGGTTGTGGGCCAGCCCCGGTGGGGGGGGGGGAGGTGAGAGGCAACCGATCAATATTTCTCTCACACATCAATGTTTCTCTCCCTTTATCCTTCCCTTTCCCTCTCTCTAAAATTAAATCAATAAAATCTTAAAAAAAAAAAAGAAATACCTGAATTGCTCCCCAGTCACAATGCTTCCAGTATGCAGGAAGTGCTCAATATATGTAAGCTATAGCAGTACATTTACCAATGTCTAGAGACCTTTTGGGTATTACAACTGGTGTGGGGAGTTGTTATTGGCATCTAATAATTAAGAGGCCAGAGATGCTACAAAACACCCTGCAATAAGTACATAGGTCAGCCCCCACCCCAATAATAATTTTTTGGCCTCAAATGTCAACAGAACAAAGACTGAAAAATCCAGAGCTATGGTCATGATCAGGACCTTGGAACCATCCTTAGGAATCCCAGAAAAGGAAAGAGTCCAGTTCTGGGTTGCCCTGCAGACAGTCCTTCTTGCCTTCCCTCAACCCCAGGCTCCCCCTAACCTGCATGCCTGACAGAGCTTACTGTCAGGCTCCTGGAAGGCATAGTTAGGGTTGAGACAGCAGTCTTCCTCACGGACATGTTCCCCCAGGAAGTCCTTACACTTCCCTGAAGATTCCTCATACTGGCTGAAGCAGAGTACAGGGTCTGAGCCTGTAAGAGAGTGGGGAGAAGGGGTATGGTCAGGGATGTGGTGGCCCCAGGCCCCCCTGGGGGCAAGCTGATCTCATTCACTTACCTGTGGCTGGCAGGGTGAGTAGCAGCAGCAGTGGTGGCCACAGAAGCAGTGACCAAAAGGCCTGTGCTAAGGTAGGCATGTTGAGCACTGCACTCCTGCAGCCCCGCCTGGCTTTATGTGAGCTGACCTGCTCTGGGAGTCAGTGGGAAAGAGGAACCAGGGGCAGGAGGAACTGAGAGGGCAAAGAGCAGCAGTGGTGGGGAGGGCAGGTCTTTACAGCTCCCACCTCTCCCTTCTTGTTGCTTCTGCCCCTGTGCCACCTTCTCCACTCAGCCCTCCCTACTTCCTGTCTCCCTCTCAGTCCAGTTTTGTTACTGTATCCCTAGCACCCCATGCTCCGCCCAGCAACCCTGCAGCACTGAGTCAATAGTCTTTGACCAAATTCTTACTAAAGGGAAATGAAGCACAGGAGTTTGGAGCACGATGAATTTCCTAGCTGTGTAACCTCGGGCAAGTCACTTGAACCTCTCTGAGACTCTGTTTCTTCACCTGTAAAATGCACACTCCCTATCATCATAGGATCAACCTCATGGGGATATTTAGCAAGGCTGAAAGGAGTGTGTCCCTCCTCATGGGGTGAAGTTACCATTGAGGTAATTGCTTAATTTTCCATCCTGACTTAACCCACCCTTCTCTTTCCTGAAAAGGAGGTCCCTTGTGGTCAGCATGGGGAAGGGAGGTCAGCACATGGGAAGTGAGAAGGGGAAGTGGCAAGACCATGGGGACGATTCAGGAGTGAATTGGGGATGGCCACTGTCCCAGGGGCCCGGCTGGAAACAACCTTAGGGCCTGTGGAGGGGTGGTAGGGAGGGAACTGGCCTGGTCATATTTCATCAGAGTAACTTGGGTAGGTGACACTCCCCTCCCTGAGTCTATATCATAGGGTTTGTTGCCAAGCTTGGGAGCTAAGTTTTTTTTTTTAAAGTCCTTAGCACAGTGTCTGGCATATAATAGATGCTCTGTGTTTGTTATATACATTTATCCAACATTTATTGGTCACCTATTGGAGCCAGATGCTATTCTCAGCATTGGGTGGAGCAGAGAATAAGACAGCCCCAAATCCTGGTCTTCAAGGCGCTTACACTCTAAAAGAATACACAGATAATAAATGTCACCTCCCTCACAGAGGCCTTTCCCAGATACCCTTTTTGTATGGCACCCTCGTCACTCTCTAGCCCAGTGACTCTCAAACCTTAGTGTGTGTCAGAATCATCTGGAAGGTTGGTCAAATCATAGACTCCTGGAACACACCTGCTTCTGATCGTGCAGGTCTGGGGTCAACAACATGCATTTTTAAGAAACTCCCAGGTGACAATGACACTGCTGCTCTGGGGACCACACTTAAAGAACCATCATTCCAGTCCCTGACCACTCTTTTTCCTTTGTAGACCTCATCTATGAAAACTATTCTACATGCTTATTATACTGTTAATAATTCCTCTTAAACCCATTTTCCATGCAGGTAAAACTGAGCTCCATGGACTTGCTATCTTTTTATAACCATTAATGAGCCATCTTAAAAACAAGAACATTTAAAATAACAATAAGGCACTTAAGAAAGGTAGGAAAGCAATCTTCCCTGCATTCAGAGGGAGAAATACCATTCTGCACATTAAAACCAAGTAAAAGAATTTGATTTAGTCAGGCTTACCATTAAAACAGAACTTCAAGAATATTAATCTTGTTTTATGGGTAATAAGGTGTGTTGACACTGAGATGTACTTGTTTCCTGATAATAGAAGCCTGTCTCAAAAAGTTTGCTTTGAACAAAGAGGTCTTGTTAGCATTCTAAGACTTCAGACGTTAGCACTGTGTTATCTTGTGAAAACAAATTCGAGAAACCTGTACTTCTGGTTGGCTGCTTTATCTAATCATCCACTGCCCTGGTAATAATGTTATAACTGGTATTTCCTTTGATCCTAAACTGTATAAATAAATACTCATAGGATTCACTGTGGAAGAGGACTGTCAGTGCTTTCTTCTTCTCTCACATATTTGGGCAATAAAATGACTCTGCAGATTTCTTATTTAAACAAAGAGTGAGTCTTGTCTCTCAATGCAATTGCAATGCAGTTGTCTCTAGCAATGCAATTATTGCACTGCCACCTTGTATGATGTATTTAGGTTTCTTGTCTGTCGCCCTCTCTCAAATGCCAGCTCCACGAGGGTAAGTTGTTTTGTCTGGTATGTTAACTGCTGTCCCTGCAGAGCTCAACAAAGATTTGCTGAAAGCAGAAATAAATGAAATAAAACTCGAGAGATTCTGTGAACTGCTAAAAGGGAGAGTCTAGATTAAAGGGTAAAATATGGGTGTCACAGGGGTGGGGGTGGGGAGATAGTGTCTCAAGTGCCCAGACTGGACCAGAGTTCTGAGAAGGGGGAAGGGAACCAAGGCAAAGCACAGGGGAAGTCCAGCATTTCAAATTTTGGAGAACTGAGGGGAAATGGAACACAGGGGTTGAGAAGGGGCCTGAGAAGGACGAGGACAAACCAGGGGATTTTCTCATAGGCCTGGCACATTTACTCCATGGTCTCTCACGCACTCTCATTCTGTGTTGATCATTTCCTCTATTTTTAAAGATAGTTACACACACAGTTCTAGATTTATGGCCTCTACTGTAGTCTCATAAGAACAGCTCACATACATACAGGATCACTCAGCTTCTCAGATATTCTCTCAGTCACTCACTCGAGGAGTCATTTTCTCTGTCATGGAGTCCCAGTCTAACAATTATCTCCTACTAACAATTCATACACACAATCATGTCTTATAGCCTGTCTCATTCGGTCAATATGACCAATATTTACTCGCATCAGTTCACACAGACTCACACCTTTTCATGTGTCAATCACTTAGGCCATAGGTGGCAAACACAAGGCCCTCGGACCAAATCCAGCCTTCCACCTTGTTTTATCAGCCCGGCACTTTGTTTCTACCCGGTGGCAGCACCGAGCTCCTTGGCCCTGGTTAAGGAGTAGTTACATTTATACAGCCTGAAATTACATTTGGCCCTTTGAAGGCAACTGCAAGGTCAATGTGGACCCCAGTGAAGATGAATTTGACACCCTTGATTTAGGCCGTCATTTTCTCACATACAAAGTCACTGATTTACAGCCACCACTAGTTTCTCATGAAGTTTCTTGCGCGCGCGCGCGCGCACACACACACACACACACACACACACACACACAAAATCACCATCTCCCCTACTTCTTCATACTCAAGGCCCCATTTCACATATCCAGTTTGATTATAACTAAGTTTCACACATATATATAATCAGACAGTATCTCAGACATTGTCTTACTCACCTAGTCTCACATTTCTTCTCAAGCAGCTTCCAACATACCAGTCTTTGATTTATAGGCTTTAATAAAGTGTTTTGCAAAGAATTTTACACACAGCCACACAGCCAGTTTCTCAGGTACTGCCTCAGTCACCCATTCAGTGTTATGATATTTTTCCCTCAGTCAGTTTCTGACATCTGTGATCACTAATTCACAATTTGTACTAGGTTCTCAGTAAGCCTTATACACAGTCTCTCGGGGTCCATCTTAGTCATTTTACACCATCATTTTCATCAGTTAGTTTATCATGTAGCCTCAAGCTCAACTATAGCTTTGCTGGTTTCCTGGATACACCAATCACATGGTCTCTCAGTGTCTTGCAGTCTGTTTTTCACAAAAAATATAGTCTGATTTACACTCTGTTATGAAATGTTTCACAGACCCACACTCTCACACGACTGCTCAATTTTCTTTCACACAGCGCGGACTTTATTTCTTATCATCTTACAGTTATGGGGCCTCTTGCACCATTTCAGACACACTCAGTCCCATCATTTTCTCTCCCTTTCACAGTCCTTGAACCTGTGGGCTAGACTGCAGTAGTAACTGTCGATTAATTTCTTACTAGTTCTAAGTATAGATACACACACGCATGTATACACACAATTGCAGCTTCTCATACTCTCCCAGCCCCAGCCATTTTTTGTTTCTCAGTCTTTGCTACTCTTACATAAACAATATTCATACACATAAATCATGCATTATTATTTTGTGTGTCAGGCAGCCATTTGGCCTCACAGCCATTTTCTCTCATACAATTAACTTTGCACATATACTCCCATGACTTTAACTGATACAACAGCCTTGCATGAACAGTTTCACACACAATCCACCTCCCAACACTGAGATACCTGTTTACATACCGTGAAGTTTTTTGCCTACACATAGTCCCTGACAAGCTGACAGGCTCTCGCACCTTTTTTTGATCACTCTGTTTGTCTTGTTCACCATCACCTGGTCAAACAGTGGCTGGTATGCAGTCCCTACTACCTTCTCATAAATATTACTTCACACGCATCACCAGTTTCTTGTACAGTATCTTAATCATTCATTCATTTGTACAGTGAATTTCTCACACAAACACAATGTCAAGTTTGTGGTTATAACTTCTACTCTCTCACACATGATTTCACACACAGATACACGCAACCAGAGATTTCTACAGTTTCTTTTTCACACCCAGTTACCAAGCTGCAGTCTCTACTACTGTTTCTGATGCAAAATATCACACACTCTCTCTCAGTCAATCTCACACCCTCATCACCTTTTATGCACAGCAATGCCAGTCACGCTGAGCCCTCATAACATCAGGAAAAGAAATGCTAGCAGCCTCCAGCATCACCTTTAAAAATATATATTTACAGGAACAATTCCCCATTCTCTGGGACTCTTAGAAAAAAAATGATCCATTTTGGGGGAAGTAAATTGAACAGTGGAGACAGGTGTAGCACCGTCCCCCAAATCACCAACCCCCAGGTCTCCAAGCCTGGGCTGGGCCGGTGCTGACAGGTGGTGAGCCAGGAGTCCTTTGAACCCACCCTTTCCAGCCTGGAAATCATACAGGACAGGCTTTATGCCCCTCTATTCCTCCCTCCCAACTCCAGGGACACTTAAAGGGTCCTTTGTACCCGCCCGCAGGAAATTGGGGGGCTGGGAGGGAGGGAGCTGAAAATACACATTTGGTATCAAAAATAAACAGTTGGGGGTGGCAGGAAGATACACCCCCATCCCTTCCTTCCCACCCACCCCATCTCAGATATAGGAAGAGATGACCCCTCTCCCCTATCGAAAAGCCCTGTTTAAAAATAGATTATACTATCAAAATGGCAGAGGGTGGGGGACAGGGAGACCTGGAGTACTGTCTGGAAGGGTCCCCCAGACGGGGACTACTCCCCCAAATAACCCTCCATTGGGAGGT